AATTCTGGTGGAACACGTGGCCGCAGGGCAGGCCCATCAGCAAACACCCATCTGCAAAATTTTCCAGACACACCACGCATTCTGTACAGTGCAACATCTCGGTGGGCCAGGCTGACCAGTCCGGCTCCGTGTCACCCGCGGTGCTGGACGAGCCGTAGGACCTCGCTTTCCCATCGTATGGCTCGTGGTGACAATACTTATTGGCACACAAACAGGGCTCCACGTCAGGCTCTCCCTCCCTGTGGAACGTGTTTACCTCCTCGTCCTCCGAGACTTCCTTTTCACTACTGAAGACCTCTTTGTTTTCACTGTCAGAGTCACTTTCGCTGTCTTGGAAGGTTTCCTCGTCGGAATGGACCCCGAGGCATTTAAACCTCCACATTGGTAAGTTCTTTATGTAATCGGTTGGTATCAGAGGGTGAAGCCAGAGGTCGGGGAAGGCCAACCGCTCCAGGAACAAATCCGGGTCTTCATCCCAATCCGAATCAAAGGGAAAGTGTTGAAAAGAAGCAATGGGATGAAACAAGTAGCTGGTGTACCAGTCCCACAGGCTCGACAGCCACTCCAGATTATTAGCGTTTACTTCATCCGTGTTGTTACTGCGTCTTCTTTTCTTCTCAAAGTAATCGATTAGTAAACCATGACCAAGGTACGTGCTGAGGAAGAGGGCTGGATGCGACGAGTAGAACATCCAATCTGCTCTTACCCAAGAAGCCAAAGTAGTTGTGTTGGAGTACCTGAAGAGTTTTAAGCTGTACTCATAAAAGCTGTCTAAGTAGGGGAGTTGCAGAAAACCTAACACGGGCAGCCAGGAAATAATCAATAATGAATTATACGTCCCTAAAGTGCTTATAAGAACCACAAAACGCTTTATAGTAGCTCCCTGTGTAATAAACAGGTCCATCCAAGCCATCAGATTAACCAAAACCAAGCTTAAAACAAACAAATCATTAACTTCTGGTTGTAACGAGCGCAAAAAGGAATCCATGGCACGTAGTGATATGAATTCACCGGTGTTATTGCCATACCTGTAAATCCCTTCGGGAGTCCTAAGGATGTAGGATGGTGTCTTATAGACACCAATTTCTGCCATGGAACTTTTATTGTCCCAGTTTTCCACGTTCACAAAAATAAACTCTACTCTTCCAGTAAACTTTACACTGAGTGCAGAGAAGAACGCCGGGGGCTGGTCCAGGTTGGCAAACAGGTATATTTTCACACGGTACTGGTCGCTTTTGTTCCATTCTTCTTTTAAATGCTCCCAGTTGTAAATGGTTTTGATCCGAGAAGCAGCGTGGGCTGTGATCCATTTGAAGATGTGCTCCACCTCGATCCTGCGCCCGTTGTATTCCTTCAGCATCACTTTCCCCTTGGAGGTACTGGTTTGTGGCACCGACATGATGAGGGTGGATTTCAGCCAACCCCTTCTCCTGCAGTACCTACAAAGAAAAGGGCAGGTTAGATTACAGGGTTTCAGAACCCTGCAGCTGCAGGGCTTCAACTGCTGCTGTGAGCCCAAAAACGAGATGTGCTGAGCACCTGGGGATCTTTACACGGAACACTAAGAAATATGGGCACCCAATATTCACTGTCCAAGTGTATTCATTCTTGCATTTGTTTTCTAGCTCACAGAAATGTTGTAGAGACACATATTCATAAATCTGAAATAGGAAGAGTAGTAATTTTTATGGGCTGTTGTAATAAACAAGGCCAAAGAGTCATTCACACTTTGTAGCTGGATTTGAGAAATACTCAACCTGCCTCTTCGCTCTTCATTACAAAGCCAAGAAGATGACCACTCTAACTCAATGCCCCACAGCTCTCCTGAGCCTGCAGGTAACTTCCCCAGTGCTTCCTTCCATCCTAGTTTTGCCAAGCAGCAGTGGGGTGAAGTTACCAGGGCACTGGTCCATTTGCAGTTGCTTTAATGATGCGGAGAAGTGTCCATTTACTACTGAGGCCATTTTGATAGAATCCCAGCCTGGTTTGGGTTGGAAGGGACCTTAAAGCTCATCCAGTTCCAACCCCTGCCATGGGCAGGGACACCTTCCACTAGAGCAGGTTGCTCCAAACCCCATCCAACCTGGCCTTGAACACTGCCAGGGATGGGGCAGCCACAGCTTCTCTGGGCACCCTGTGCCAGCGCCTCAGCACCCTCACAGGGAAGAGCTTCTGCCCAAGAGCTCATCTCAGTCTCCCCTCTGGCAGGTTAAAGCCATTCCCCTTGTCCTGTCCCTACAGGCCCTTGTCCAAAGCCCCTCTCCAGGTTTCCTGCAGCCCCTTTAGGCACTGGAGCTGCTCTGAGGTCTCCCCTTCAGGAGCCTTCTCTTCTCCAGGCTGCCCCAGCCCAGCTCTCTCAGCCTGGCTCCATAATCATTTTGGAAGGATGCAGACAGACAAGGAAGAGGTGTGGTGAGAGAGCTCACTGCAAAACCAGCACAGGAGGAAGCAGCCATGTGCTGCTGGATGGTTTGGGCTAAAAGAACACCCCTGCTGGTGCTGGGCTGGGGTGAACTCCAAATCCCTACCTAAAAGAAGCAGCTCTTCAAGGCTGAACCCCGAGTCATGGTGCAGACCCCAGTAACCGTGAGACAAGCCTGATGACTCAGAAGATCCCTTCTCTCATGCATCCTTTCTGCCAGCATCACTTTGCCACTCAATTTATCTAGTCCTCCTTTTAGGAAACATCTGGCAAGCTTCAACAACCAAAACACCTCACAGCCAATGGGCATGCAAACTGTGCCTGAGGACCTGCACGCTGCAACAGGGGCCATCAGCCACACTGACCCCCCACCTTACCTACCTCCTCTCTGCTTTTGCTCTAATCAACATCTATTTAGACAATTACATCTCCCCAGCTCTAAAAATGTAACATTTTTAGAAGGAGCCATAAGATATTATCCTGCTAATAAAGGGACTGCAGTGACAGGACAAGGGGTGATGGGTTTAAACTAAAACAGGGGAAGTTCAGGTTAGATATAACGAAGAAGTTCTTCACAGTGAGGGTGCTGAGGCACTGGAACAGGCTGCCCAAGGAAGTGGTGAATGCTCCATCCCTGGCAGTGTTCAAGGCCAGGTTGGACAGAGCCTTGGGTGACATGGTCTAGTGTGAGGTGTCCCTGCCCACGGCAGGGGGTTGGAACTGGATGATCTTAAGGTCCTTCCCAACCCAAACCATTCTATGACTCTTTGATCCTGTGTATCCTGACTACCGTGGCGTGCAGCCTTCTGCTGAGTTTCAGCTGCCACTTGATGAAAACTATTCACAAGGGTTTAATAAACAAAACATTTATTGCATTAGGGAAAAATGAGTTAATTTAAAACACAGGATTTGATTATAACATTAAGACTAGTTAGGAGCTATGCAAAGAGAAGCACTGCCAAATGTCTAAGGTGTTCAAACACCAGCGTTTTGATTAGACAAGATTATTTTGCATAAGAATTTTCTCTTGTGATTAACTTTGAGATTTGTGCAAACATTTAGGACTGTGTAGGACATGCATATCCATACATGCCACTGGAATTCTAGACAAAGTTTCCCATCATGTGAAGCAAATGCTTCCAGCAAAATGAGCAGAAAGAATTGTCTTTCCAGGATCACAGAATGATTACTCGCTCCTGTGGCTCTGCTCTTCTTTCCTTGTTCAAAGTCAAACAGCCAGCAGCAGTGGATCTGGCAGAGCACGGTGTGTGTTGTCAAAGGGTGTGTGCAAGTTTATATAGAAACATGCACATTTGTCAGGGAACAGGATTTGTTCCCTGAGAAACAGGCACTGTTTGGGTGGTTCATGCTTACCTGTGTTTCTCCTTTCCAGATGGCAATGTAACAGCTCTACAACTGGTACAGTTCTCTTACAGGGGCTATATATATACAGCTTTGTCCTAGCCAGCAGGGTTCTTGTCCCCAAATGACTGGACTATAAGGCCAAACCTTTCCATTCCTTCCCTTCCAGTGCTCTGTTACACTTTACATACTCTGCTCATGCATTTCCACACGGTGCTTTAGGAGGCTGCAGCTCTGTGTCTATGATGCTGATAAATCATGTAATGAAGAATTCTGAACAGACTTCAGTAAACAGAAAACCATGAATAAAGCCACCTTCTGTCACAGCTACTTTTACAACACAGCAAGCCCTGCTGCCAGAACACAGCTGAGCCTTAAGATATTCTTGGGATTTAGATAATCCTTTAGGAATATACCTGGGGTCACTGGAACAGTTGAAAGTGCCGGTGCGTATGCCGAATCTTGATACTTTCTTCACCATTTTCTCCCAGTGGACTTTACCCACCAGTGGGCTTCTGTCATTTGCTATGACCTGTTGCCGAAAGGAAATAACCATTTAGTTGTCACAGTGAGTTTGGTTCCTGAAATAAAGAGCAAGTTTCATGAAAACAGAGATGTAGTCACCCTTGATACAGTTCTCCCCTTCTCTCAGAACATAGGTATATACAATTGGGAACCACACTGAATGTCTTCAGAGAGTGAAGCTCTGAGACAGAAATACAGTTTCTGCAGACAGACAAAAGTGCAGCATCATTTTAAGTACCTGTTAAGATGCTAAAGTCAGCGGTAGTTAACAAAAACCTCAGGAAAAGAACACAGCTATCATCAGCCACTAAAGAGGAGAAAGAAGGAGTGTGCAGCAGGTTCCTCCTCCTCACAGTAAAAAAGACCATTGTTTTATTAGAATTCTCCCTGAAGTTACAACATACCAAAGAAATGTCGTCTCACATTGGAAGGTGTGTACCTGGTACCACATTAGGCTGCCAACAGCCATTTCCAAGCAGTGGAAACTAGTGATTAAACTCCCAGATAACACCTAAAAACCTTGAGCCCTTCCAGCTGTGCCAGTGACTCACTCTGTAACTTTATGTGACTGTTCCACCAACTCCAGTGCCCCATCTGCCATTCACTGTGATGTACCCCAAGGTCTAATTTGTTCTAACCTAGTGTATTGAAGTAGTATGTCAGGCTACCTAGCTGTAAGCTTCTGCAGACACAAGTGACTAAGAGTAAGTATTTATCCTCTGACTTATAACTATACAGGGAAGGCAAAGAAGGAAAAGAAAGCCCTGCCTGCCTGCAGCTGACAGGTAATTTTGACTGACATGACTGATCATGCATTATTCCATGAGCCATCGCATTTTCTATTTCAGAAATGCCTCACATGCTTCTGCAGGCTCACTGGCAACCACTTGAAATGTATTTTTATAGCAAGGCTTGAAACTCCCATTTGTTAGGGATTTGCTTACCCACCATTAGACTTCTCCCAATTGTTTTCTGGGTTAATAACCTCAAATGACAGCTTTCCTCTGGAAGTTTGGTTGTCACTGCGAGGAACAGTTCTCCATGTACGGGCTGAGACACAGACCTGGAACCTGTGTCTGGCCTTTGAGACCTGCTTTGTCTAAGTAGCATCCTCTCAGAAACTTAAGATGAGAGAATTCACTAAGCAGAATGTTTTCCATAGGGAAACAAAGTTAAGCTGAAGATACAGATTACACTGAGCCCCAAATGTTTAAACAAAACCAGAGAACAGCTGGCTAAGAAGCCTTCAAGTTATTCTTAAAACACACACACCACATAGAAAAGCTTTTTTGGTTCACTAAATGCAACCTTCAAGCATCGATACAACCAGCTGGGGAAGTCTGCTGTATTACTGAGCCTTCTTTATGCCCCCCACTTCACTCTGGATAGTTTAAACTTGTTCCTTCCAAGTATTTCAGCTAAAAAAGAAGACATTCCTAAAGACACCCTCACACCAGGATACCTTCAGAGCTACGACAGCGTGAGAAATGCATCCAGCAGAGTAAGGAATCACTACGTTTTATCAGTAAGCACAGAAGTGAAACATTGGTAACTAGATTCCAACCACTCAGAGATTGGTTTCTTCCAAAACTCTGTGTGCATGGTCTGAACAAGCCCAACGCAGTCCTTGGGAGAATACTGATGTTATGTGCAGCAAGACCAATCCTGCTCAGCTGTTTCTTCTGTCTCATAGCTACAATACTCACTTTAAGTGTCAAGAGAAAGAGACCTGTTGCAAATACAGTCACCAATATGTTTTACTGTGGGCTTTTTAATACCAGTTTAATTCCCTTCCTATGAAAAAGTCTTTCCCCTGGGGAAAGTTATTTATGCTGAAGGCCAACCACAGAACTAGCAGTTGTTGTAATTACACAGAGAGAACCCTACGATGGTTTTGCACACTGAAGCTGTGTAAAATTTCTTGGGCTCAGGCTTTTTTATGTCATTAAGGCCAAAAAAACCCAAATAAACACGTCCATTGCAGCTGCTCCTTGCAGACAACACCCACTTACAACATTGGGAGTTCACCGCACAGAAGCAAGGGGTCGTGTTTTGGAAAGTAGTCATCATCTCTGAGGATGAGGGAGTCAGAGAGAACACTGCAGGTTAAGCAATTACACAAAACAGTGTAATTCAGTTCAAATTAGAGATAACCTGCTAACGCTTGCAACAGATTCTATTTAAGAAGTGTGGATTTTGCTCAGCTAAGAAATTGAGCTTCAAAACCTGGGACTGAGGAGAGCAGGAATCTGAATGTGGAAGAGGCCTGGAAGTTCTTCAAATCCAAGGTGTTCAAGCTGTCAGGGTTTTATATGTCAAGCAATGTCCTTCTTCCTAGCAAGCACCTCCAAAAAGATGTTAGAAATAGTCTGAGAATCTACAAGGAATGAACAAAGGTCAAAAGCGAAAGCTGGCAAAGAAAGATATGCAAGAGAAAGTAGGGAAAAATGAGCAATTCAAATTAGACCATACAAAGAATATTACAAGCTGCACCAAAAGGTTTTTCAGGCATATGAATCAGACTAGAACAGAGGGAAAAGCAGCGGGATCACCATACAATGACAACAGGGTAGAAATGCAACATCATTTTGTTTTTAAAATTAAATGAATGCTCTGGCTCAGTTTTCAGTGCAGAGGAGATGGCTGCCCATGGACGGGTGAGCGCGTTGATGGGAAGAGACTGTATCATTTGAAGATGGAAACAAAACTCAACCTGAGGAAGCAGGTAATTTCAATCTCAGAACTGCAGTGCAATGAGCACACAAAATCACACATGAACCTGTGAAGGTTTCATGTAAGAGCCCTGTCACACTCATTTACACTGACAGGAGAACAAGAAGTTAGTAACTGTATTTAAGAGCTCACCCTTTTGATCTCAACGGTATGCAAAACTGTAGAACAGATTTTAAAGGTGCAGAGAGTTCAAGTTGTGTTTTCCACCCCTTTCCAGCATGGAATTACTAAAAAGGTATCATTCCTGATTAAACTGAGAAGTAAAAATCCATCTTTTCCTGGAGGAAAAGAACCAGGTTCCAAGGGAAAGGGAAGGTAGTACCCTGTCTATAGTTTGGATGAGCATCACGTTGTGCCACGTGGACCATTTCCATGAGAACTGGATATGAGCTTTTATAGTGAGTTAAAAACCCAAGCTTTAAACTGAGTAAATTGTCTAAGGCAAGAAAACATCAAAATGCCAGGAAGGTGCTAACAGACGTCTTAATTTATCTACCTTAGAGCTCAGTTCAGCATATATTCCTATTAATGCCCTCCCTGCAGGAACTCTTAAGTGTTCCAAAGCCATCTGAGGATGACATGAACTTGGGAAGCCCAGCTGCCTACAAAAGAGGACTGCAATGCACAAATCTTGTAACACGGAGTGTCAGAAATGAAACTGAATTCAGTAATGAACAGGACACTCAGGGAGTTCATCAGTTAGAAACAGCAATGGGAGGAAAAGCTGGGCTCTGTTCGTTGATCCAAAAGGGACCTTGAGCCATCAATAACAACTGGTTGTGAAATAAGCAAAGCCCAGCATATATTATACCCGACAAAGAAACTGGTTGGTTGATCTCACATACTGGGAGCAGGCATCAGGAGTCAGTGAAACTGAAGGGTGATGTCAATTTAAACGCAAGAGGAACAAATGAGCCAAATGAATACACTGAAGCCAGGAGTCAGATACACCTTTCCAAGAACAGAGCAGTCAAAAAGGAGTTCTACACTCAGCCAACTATGATTTGAGACAGACAGCAAGGTATTTTATAAACACATATTCCACAGCCTAGCAAGCTGAACTTGCTCATCAAGAAGGTCCCCTGCAGCCATATCTCTATTTGATTTTAAAGAAATAAAGACAAAGCTCAGAGGAGAAGGTGTCTTGTATGAGATCAGTTGGGAAACAAACACCACGTTTAGAGGAACACAAACCCTTCAAGCTTCTCTTCGTATGAGCTTTGTTCACAACCTGTAAAACATCACATGTCAGAGTGAGAAGCTAAGGAAGATAACTCAATGAATCCATTAATCATCTTAAGGGGCTAAGAGAATCCAATAGGATCACAGTAACCCTGCCATTTCATAACCCCACATCACAGGGTAGATCTGCTCCCTCACCTACACCTAACCCAGGCCAGAGGACTGGCTCTGACTGCAGGGTCCGAATTACCCTCTCTATACATGAATTCCTGGTGCTTTAGTGGAAGATGCTGGAGAGGCCAGGCCCTCACTGAGTATCCATCCACAAACCTCTTCTGAAGTCTCAGACATGTTTTTTAGTGCTCCATCAGTGAATTTGTGAGGACCACACTGCAGGTAAGTTATGCCACGAGGTGTGTACAGTAAAAATGAGAAGATGAGGGTTTGGAAATCTCCTTTATTTCTACATGTTCTGATTGAGTGTTCTTGTTTAGTTTGCACCTAAGAAGGTGGCTTCCAGACACCACAGAAAACAAAATGAAAACAGAATTCATCGAGGGACATAGAATACTGAAATCCTCCTGAGTTCAATGGGCATTTGAGTAGGAGGCTTTTGCATTGGAAGAGCTCTTCTGACTTTGAATTTGATAGAACTGTCCCAAAAGAGGCCAGTCAAGAGCATAATTAATAGAATCATTTTGATCTGTGTGTTGAAATAGTCATAGTTCTGACATGAAAGAAGCAAACAGACTCTAAGAGCAAATACCCTGGAGACAGAAAGATATAAACACTTGGAAAAATAGGACAATGTCAGCAAGACTATTGCCAAATTCCAAATGAAAGTGTCTTGAGGGGATGCATCAATACTGCAGTAACTACTTCATAGCTGTCATCAATGCTGCTGCTCCTTGATTTCCAGTTATCCGGCAGGATTAGCTGTATAAATCAGATCTTGTTCAATCTCTTTTAGACAGGTATGTAGAGATTTCCAAACAGGTCACTGCAGCTGATTTGGTGTCAGTAGGTTTTGAGGCTCGCTCACGACTAAATCACACAGCATGAGAATGAGTCAGAGATGGACAAACACAGAACGAACCCTTCGTGGTGTTTCAGCTCTCATTATTTCCTAGTTCTAGTGAGGATACTGGGTCTCAGACACACCTGCTCATACTAAGAGCAAGCACACAGTGTTGAATACTCAGGAATAGTCAAAACCTGGGTTTACAGCTTAGCCACAAAGACACCAACTCCAGGTGCTCCTCAGCTCTTGGCACAAGGGCACTGTGACAGGCTTAAACCATGAGGAAGACCAAAAACCTATTAAATACAGAGACATCTTTCCCTGGAGCAGTCAACCCTCACTCAGCCTCAGCAAGTCAGTCTCTGCATGCAGGAGGACACACATGTGAACTGGGTACAAACACTCCGGGATTCTGCCAAAGGCAAAAGTGATTTCTAACTTCTATTACGAACTGGTCAGGTTGTTCCTATGTGAGAGCTGTCAGTCTGGTTTGGCAGTTTCCAGTTGGAGATATTCAGACCCCTGGAGATCCACCATGAGCAAAGGAAGCCTCTTATTACTCTAAAGAGCCCATGCACTTGCTGGAAGACTTTTAGGGATCCACAAAGACACAAAGGTTCAAAATCCCTGGTCTGTCAATTAAAACTTACTCTGTGCTTTTCGTAGGACCCTTTATAACCAACAGCTGCAAACTACCCTCCCACAGAGAAACGAGAAGTACAAGTATTTGGACAATTCTCCTTTAGACATACAAGTCATTATAAATGGAGTGGTGAGTTACTCAGTAGAAGCATGGAGAAAAGCCCACTTATTCAAGAGCATGTCAGTAAGTTTCTACATGACTGTCTGCACCTGTATTAATCCTGAGACACCTCACTCTCTGCCTATTATTCAGCATTGTGCTGATGAAACTGGACTTCCACACTTTCCTCGGGACTCACGAGTGGGTCAGAATCCATCCAGATGGATTAAAGATGTCTGGAGGTTTTTGGTTTTTCTGAGAAAAAGACTCTAAGAAATTAGATCAAAATAGGCTACATCCATGACAGGATGCAGAAATTACCCACCTTAAAATCACGTGTAGTTTCTCAAGGGAGGTGGGTGATCTATGCACCAGCTTGAACAGCTCAGTTAAGCTGTCAGTTAAGCCAGAGGTTGGGAATAGAGGAGCTGCTGGAATGAATTAACATGGATACACAGGAACATGAGGGTACATTCGAACTGATGGTATTCTGCACCTCAACGGGGGAGGAAGACTCTCAAGAAGGATACTGAAAGTTAAAATCAGGTATCCTCTGGGAAACGATCCTGAAGGGCTACTGGAAAAGACACAAATACCAAATGATGTAGTTTGAAATAATTGAGTGTTTCTACTTAATTTCCTGTAGTGAGAACAACTGAACCACCTGCAAAACTGAGAAGGCGAATATGAAAAGTACTCATCCTACATACATGGGAAAGAAGGGAAGAGAAGAAGGGAAGGGAGGAAGGGAAGGGAGGATGGGAAAGGAAGAAGGGAAGGGAAGAAGAGAAGGGAAGAAAGGAAAGGAACAAGGGAAAGAAAGACGGGAAGGGAAGAGGGGAAGGGAAGAAGGGAAAGGAAGGAGGGGAAGGGAAGAAGGGAAAGGAAGAAGGGAAAGGGAAGAAGGAAAGGGAAGAAGGGAAGGAGGAAAACACCACCAAAATCCTGTAGACAGATCCCTGGCTCTGTTACACCACCTGAACAAGAAGCTGAGGTGCAGAACAGATCACAACATTTTACACCCATAATATCCTCTGCACCTCTACCAGACCTGATCAGAATGCTTCTCCTCCTGTTTGAATGCCCTGAAGGAAGTCCCCTGTACCTCCCTTTACCACTGTGTTACAGTAGAGTCTTTCAGAATAAAAATAGAGACTATTTTAGCTTTTAGCTTCATTCAAAGAGGGATTTTATCTGTAGATCAGTTACTGTATGCTTTTAGAAAGTCATAATGACTACAATAGTGTTGGATGTGACAGGCTTCTAGTGACTAACCAGAGAGCATGAGCAGAGTCTGGAGAAGCTAGAACGTTATGTGTTACCCCTCTCCAACAAGAGAAGCAGCTCTAGAAGCTACCATTCATCCTACTCACCCTCCTTGCCAGCCAAAGAAGTGCACAGCAGCAGCTGGCAAGCGAGAAGAAAGGCATAGAAGGAAAGGTATGAGATCATAAGCTAATAGGAGAAAGAACACACTGCTGTCTGTGGCTCTATGGAAGCTCTGCACAGGAGCAGAGGGCACCTGTGAACAGTTACATCAGTAAACAAATTGCTGCTGA